CTCTCTCTCTCTCTCTCTCTCTCTCTCTCTCTCTCTCTCTCTCTCTCTCTCTCTCTCTCTCTCTCTCTCTCTCTCTCTCTCTCTCTCTCTCTCTCTCTCTCTCTCTCTCTCTCTCTCTCTCTCTCTCTCTCTCTCTCTCTCTCTCTCTCTCTCGTCTCTCTCTCTCTCTCTCTTTCTCTCGCGCGCCATTGTACGCCATCAAACATCACTACGGCTCATCTTCGCAATGCCCATGAGTAATTCCTACAGTGTTCCCAGCTGTCTAGATGCAGGATTCGCGTTATTATGATAATGACTGTACACGTATTCCCAATACGGCATAGGTAGTACAGATAGGTAGATATCCAGCTCTCGTTCGAAAGGCTGCATTCAAACCCATGCTGGCGTGAGTATGTAGAATCGATGGGCGTGGGATGGTTGGATGCTTCCTGCTCTCTCGGGAAATAAGCGACCTCTAAATTTGAAAATGTATTTTATAGTCTGGACAACAAATCTGCCCTAACTCTCTGTGGCCTCCTCGTTGTCGTGACTTCCTCTCTGTCTAGAGTTTCTCTATGCCGGATAACTGTAGGCTACGTTCCCTATAGTACCGCTATACCGCCATACTACCGCTATATACCGCTATACTATCGTTATACCGCTATATACCGCTATGCTACCGTTATACCGCTATATACCGATCTACTACCGCTATATACCGCTATACTATCGTTATACCGCTATATACCGCTATACCGATATGCTACCGTTATACCGCTATATACCGATCTACTACCGCTATATACCGCTATACTATCGTTATACCGCTATATACCGATACGCAACCGTTATACCGCTATATACCGATATACTACCGTTATACCGCTATATACCGCTATACTATCGTTATACCGCTATATACCGATATACTACCGTTATACCGCTATATACCGCTATACTATCGTTATACCGCTATATACCGCTATACTATCGTTATACCGCTATATACCGCCATACTACCGTTATACCGCTATATACCGATATACTACCGTTATACCGCTATATACCGATATACTACCGCTATAATATACCACTATATACCGATATACTACCGTTATACCGCTATATATCGATATACTACCGCTATTATATACCGCTATACTACCGCTATATACCGATATACTGCCGTTGTACCGCTATATATCGATATACTACCGCTATTATATACCGCTATTGCATACCGCTATACTCCCGCTATATACCGATATATTCCGTTCTACCGCTATATACCGTTATACCGCTATATACCGATATACTACGGCTATACCGCTACGCTCCCTATAGTACCGCTATTATACCGCTATACTTCCGCTATATACCGATATGCTACCGTCATACCGCTATATACCGATATACTACCGCTGTATACCGATATACTACCGTTATACCGATATATACCGATATACTACCGTTATACCGCTATACTACGCAATTAACCGATCCGCGTTCGAAATTTACCTGCCTGTCTTCGTCAGCATATATCGGGGCGACGCATCGCCGTGTTCGGTCGACGCGCCGACATGGCCGTGGAGAGAACGATTTAATTAATCATCAACCTAATCGCCATTAGGCGTCCCGTCGATCTTTTGGTATTCGCATCTACGTATACGCTCACGAGGAAGCGAATCTCTCCTCGAGCAAACGCAAAACTCCCGAGAGCTCGAGCGGGGAGATTGTCAGAGTAGATATGCTGGCCGTGTGTGTGTGAGGGGGGGCGTGCGTGCGTGCGTGGGTGCGTGTGCGTGTGCATGTGCGTGCGTGTGTGCCTATCTATGTATGTGTATGTTGTGTGTGTGTGCGCGCGCGTGTGCGCGTGCGCGTGCGTGCGTGTGCGTGCGTGCGTGCGTGCGTACCCCTTTCACTCGTCAGCAGTGGCTGATACGCACGCTGGGCTAGGCAGCTTTGATCTTACTCATGACGATGCCTATGGGTGATGCCCATGCTGGCTGGGACGGCGGGACTATTATTTACTACTTTGGCGATTGATTCCCGTGTATGGAGCGTGCTTGTTGTGGGAAAACACCGAGACAAATAGCGTCCCCAGCACAACTTGGTAACGGTAACCCATGGTAACGCTAACCCCTAATTCTATTCCTAACCATAATCCTAACCCTTTTGCTTAATCTACATACCTAAATCTGGCGGGGGTGTGTGTCACATTTTCTGTGTGAATTTATACTATATATATAACTCGTTTAATTAGGCAAGGAGTTAGTTATCCTGCCCACAGCAGTTTTCTGAGTTTAACGCTCCCAGGACACGCCATTCGACCGAACGCGTTGCATGTTTATGCTAATAATTCTAATAACGCGCGCATGCATATAACGCACGCATGCAGATGACAGTATTAGTGACACTTGGGCGTGCGCCTCGTGTGTTTCTCGACTGGTTTTGCCTGGATCACTGATCTGGGCGGGAATGGTGCGGCTACTGGCCGACAGTGTCGCCACTGTCGTCTGCATGCAGCATGGGTTCGTTTAGACGTGAATTTTCGTTAAACATTCACCCTAAGACTAATTAGGATGTACTAACTAGGACTAGTGCTGCAGTAGTGCAGGATGTACAAACGTTGGTGTTTATTTCAGGGCGTAGCGTGAGCAGCAGAAGAAGCAGAGATGGAGAACTTTAGCATGGAGATGCGGTACGACGTGGGCGACTGCCCCAACTACAACTGCTCGGCAAAAGGGCTTCTGCTGCCCATCATATGCGAGTACACGTGGACACCCGCCACACGTGCTGCCCTCTATCTCATCGGTAATTATAAGCCCTCGCTTTGTGTGTGTAGTACACGCACACGCACGCACACGCACACGCACGCACACACACACACGCGTACGCACGCACACACACGCACACGCACACACACACGTACGCGCGCGCACACACATACACACACGCACGCACACACACGCACACACACACACACACGTACGCGCGCGCACACACATACACACACGCACGCACACACACGCACACACACAC